CAATCATTGACATCTTTACTGAAGCATACAATAAAATGGAACTGATGATTAATATTCAGAAGACTAAAGTCCTCCTTCAACACGATCTTAATGAGCATTCCCCAACTCCAATAATTTAGTTTCACATTGAGACTCTGGAGAACGCTGAGTATTCCCCATAGCTCAGAAGCCATTTCTCACAGAAGGCTGACACTGATGAAGAAATCCAACATTGCCACAAATGTGAAAGTGCAGCCTCTGGACGCCTGAGGAAATGAGTAACTTAGTTTTCATTAAAGATTTTCATTAACCTCTGCAGTTGTTTGCTTGTCTCTCTGACATATAAAATGGAACTGGTGTTGTAATGAGCACAAATTGGGAAATATCTGTTACTGTAGGTAACAAAGTTACAAACCATGTACTCCATGGCACCACTGAGCAAAATCCCATGGCAACACCAACTAAATCCTACAGTTTCAGTGATTTCCTCATGAAATATTCTTCATTCCTTCTCCCCGTCCACAGTCAAATGATATATTTTTATCCCAACCTATCAAAAGTCTCAGAGCAGCTTGCAATAATCAAACAACCTACAGGGAGGAATGAAAGGCTCAGGGTAAAAAATACACAAGATATAGAACTAATTAATGATTATTTTTGCAGCTGGCTTTTTTCTGTACTCGGGTTGTTCAGCTCTACTCCTTAGCCTGTTTGTTGTGGTCTCCAAGCAGCCCTTTGGAGATCACCTGCATTTTTACCTTGAAAGAAAAATTCTCTTTTTTACAGTAGGTTGGGTTAGGTCAACTCATTTGATAGGTACCAGGAAGTGGGCGTAGTTAGCTCCAGAGAGGGCACATCTATATATGCAAGTAATGCACACGAATAAACTCTGGAGCTCATTGCTCTAGAGTTTATTCATGTGCGGCACATTAAGCACAGTTGGAGCAGCCCTGATTGGCAGCAGCACAGGGCTGCTCCAACCAGGCTCAATGTGTTGCAGAGGGGCTGCCTGGGGCACAAGGGTGCTTGTGTGGGGCTAGCTGGCAGGTGGCCTCTGCACTGAAGCGCCCTCCTGCCCCAGCCAGCTAGGCAACATCTCCAAGTTCACTGCTGCTCATGAAAAGACTCTGGAGCAGGCTAGTACTTGGATTTACAAGTACTAGCCTGCTGTGGAGTTTATTAGTTTTGTGTGCCCTAATAGGGGTGCATGTGTAGACACAGAGATGTTTACTGAGGATTTAATTAGGCAGCTCTGCAGCTAATCTTTCTTGTAGATGTACCCAGTTTGCTGAAAGAAACTTTGTAGCTTATTTTCCATTGATTTTTCTGAATCTGTACACAGGCTCCAAAGCACTTCTAAGAAGAAAGACAGGCTAACATAGATAAAATGAAGTGAGCTATAAAGAATCCAAGAGGATCAAAGTGAGAAAAGGTTATGTCATATTATTGTCTGAAATGGCAAATTCAGCTATAAAGTCTAACTACTGTAACATTATTGCTATTAATATGTATTACAGTATCTCTACAAGTCCCCAAGGAGGATCTAAGTCTCGGTTGTGCTTGGCACTGTACATGCATATTGTGAAAAGATGATCACCCCTGTCCCCAGATCTTACAAAGTAATACCTATTTCATCATTCAGGAATTCTCAACTTCTCATCCTTTGCCTCATTTCACTTATTTATTGTCCATTCTAGCTCAGAAATTAGTTTATAAGGTGCCATCTTCTCCTATCTTTTGCTGATTTCAGACTAACACAGTTAACAAACCCTTTCAGCTCATAAATCATCAATGGCACCAGTCGTGCCACTGTTACTAACATCAAGTAATTTTTTTCTATCTGCAGCTGAATTGATTTCAGTGGAATTAGTTGTACAATAAAGTACTATTCAGTTGTGAACCATAATATACAATTAGGCCCCACATGGCCATAGTTTCCTCTTATGACCTTCTCTTAACAGATCTGTTTTGAAGGCTAACCCTGAGAAATGCTGATTCCTAATTATAAAATGATCAGGAACAGCTTCTTCATAAACCAAAGAAGAAAAGTACACCAGAGATTAAAAAGTTAATAAAACAAAACATTTCTTCTTAGCTCCTGGTGATTTATTCACAGTTTATAACTTTAACAGTTTGCCAGTTAAATCTATAACTTATAAATCTATAAATTATATAACTATAATTTATCTGATTAAATTCAGATATCCTTCAGTAGTCATGATCCTACCCACATAGAAATATTTTTCTGAACTCTAATAGTACCATTGTTGTCCCTTTCTTGGGTGATATTATCATTAGTTTCAAAGTTATCAGGTCATTTGTCCATTTTAGACATGCATTCAGTTATAGCATTTATTCAGAAAACTTGATATCAGCCCCTTGGATGTATTTGTTGTTTCTCACCACTCCTCATGTAACTGACTCAAGCACTGATTTATCTATCTATTTAGGCCTTATGGAAGGAGTTGGGAGGAGATAAGGATTTTTGTTTGAATGCTCTGTGCCTTAGCACATATGTACAGAATGCAGGACAGTACATTTCAACTGTAGTTTGCCAGGGAGTCCCTAAGGAAATGGCTGAGGCTCCATGCTTCCAGTGCCTGCTTGTCATGGGAGACTTCAACTACCCAGACATTTCATGGGTGTGGGGGCCGAGGGAGATCCGGGAAAGGGTCGACTGGGTTGTGGCCACAAATCCAGCACGTACAGATGGGTACTTTCGACCGCTGGAGTAGAATTAGGCACAAACGTGTACTGGTTCAAACAAAGATGGCTTTACTTACACTGTCGAGATGTACAGTGTAGGAAGAAAGTTAACTTCAAACTTCAGTTTCAGTTTAACCGAGGAGCTCTGATAAGATGAGATATCTTTCTAACGGGTCTGAATACGAGCACGCAGGACACGGGGGTACGTCGGGATGGTCGGCGACGGGGAGTCGTCAGCGGTTGATCAGTCCGCCACGTTCACTCCGAGATGGGCGCAGAGTTCTCCAACTTGGGCGGAAACTGCTCCAACCTTTTATATGGCTAGCAAGCCAATCGCTGGTCGCCACGTAGGAATAATTTAAATCTGGCCAATAACAATGTGAATTTGCATATGAGTGGCGGGAACTTTTTTCTAAACTGTAATTTTCCACTACTGTAGCATTTGGTTACTGGGTTCAGGCATAGCGGAATTTTCCTCCATGACCTAGTTACTGCCACCAGAATGATTGACAGCAAAACTATGCCATATGTATCGAACCCATGGAATTCTCCTCTGGGCTATACCAATTCTCCTCTGGGCTATACCAATTCTCCTCTGGGCTATACCAATTCTCCTCTGGGCTATACCAATTCTCCTCTGGGCTATACCAATTCTCCTCTGGGCTATACCAATTCTCCTCTGGGCTATACCAATTCTCCTCTGTGCTATAGGCATCTAATTAATGGGTTCTGACATTAGAAAAGATTATCAAAGAGGCATCCTTAACAGACTGGCTGATGGCAGTATCCTGAGGGATAGCCAGCACAAGTTTGTTGTGGGTAGGTCTTGCTTGACCAATCTTATTTCCTTTTACGACCAGGTGACCTATCACCTGGACAAGGGAGAAGAGATTGATGTCATATATCTTGACTTTAAAAAAGTCTTTGATTTGGTATCCAGTGATCACCTCTTAGCAAAACTGGCCAATTGCGGCCTCGGCCTCACCATGATCCACTGACTGGGGAAATGGCTCTGCGGTAGGACCCAGAGGGTGGTGGTTGATATAATATTCAATATCTTCATTAATGGTGTGGACATTGGTATCAGAAGTGGACTGGCCAAGTTCACCCACAACACCAAACCCTGGGGTAAAGTGTCCATACCTCAGGACAGGAGTGTGATCCAGGCTGACCTCAACAGGCTCAGGAAATGGGCGGATGAGAACCTGATGGTGTTTAACACTGAAACATGCAAGCTTCTCCACCTTAGGAAGAAAAACCTGGAGCACGCTTATAGGCTTGGCAGTGTTATATTGGCTAGCACTTTGGACAAAAGGGACTTGGGGGTCATAACTGACCACAAGATGAACATAAGCCATCAATGTGATGCTGCAGCTTGTAAAGCGAGCAAAACACTGGCTTGCATTCATAGATGCTTCTCAAGCAAATCCCATGACATTATTCTCCCTTTGTACTCAGTCTTGGTAAGGCTGTAGCTGGAGTACTGCATCCAGTTTTGGGCTCCACTATTCAAAAAGGATGTGGAGAAGCTTGGGAGACTGCAGAGGAGAGTCACGCACATGATCAGAGGTCAGGAAAACAGACCTTATGAAGAGAGGCCGAGAGCCATGGGACTCTTCAGCCTGGAAAAGCACAGGCTCAGGGGTGATCTGGTGGCCACCTATAAGTTTATCAGGGGGTGCTTACCAGGATCTGGGGGAACATCTGTTCACCAGAGCACCCCAAGAGATAACAAGGTCGAATGGTCACAAACTCCTCCATGACCGTTTCAGGCTGGACATAAGGAAGAACTTCTTTACTGTCTGAGCCCTCAGGTCTGGAATAGACTGCCGCCAGAGGTGGTTCATGCACCTACTTTGAACACCTTTAAGAGACATTTGGATGTTTATCTTGCTGGGATCCTATGATCCCTGCTGACTTCCTGCCCCTGGGGCAGGGGGTCTGGACTCGATTTTCCAAAGTCCCTTCCAGCTCTAATAATTAAAAAAAACAACAAAAAACCCAAATAAAAAAACAAAACAAAACCTGTCACAGAGCACTGAGGTGCCCTGCTCCTAAAGAGGGGAAAACTACTAGGGAAAG